AGTCTGGATGGGGCTGTGATCAGCCTTGGTGTAGTGGGAGCTGCCCCTGCCCATGGCAGGGGGGTTGGAACTAGGTGATCTTTAAGGTCCCTTTCAACCAAAACCATTCTATGATTAAATACAATTTCCCATTAAACTTGCCTATTTTTATTGACTTTTGAAATCCAAGCTGTTACACCTTTTAAATACGAAAATAACAAGGCATCATTTTTCCTGTAAATATTTCAACAAATACTAGAATGACAATTTAGGTTAGAGGCATCAAAAATCATATTTCTGTTTTTTTCCCCCCAAAAGACTTAGACACTGACTCCCTACAATAAAATTATTTATGCTTGGAAAGCAAAGAGGGGTGTCCATACCAATGACTTCTGCATCCCAACTGCCACTTTTCAGGCATAACCACAGTTTGAGGCAATATTGAAGGGAATATATATCTAACACAGGAGGGATAAACACTGTGTATGCCTCTGAAACTAAGAAGTGAAAAATGGACAATTTCCAGACAACCGACTTAAAGTTACAAATTGTCTTCTGCCATTACCTTCATTTTGAGGAATTCAGTAGTCCAGTCAATTCATATAATTCATTCCATTCTTCATTTCTTTGTCACAGCTCAAATAATGCAGCACTAATCTTCCAGATTCAGTGTAAAGAAATGGTATGTGAGACCCAAGATAAAGCTTAAATCACTGCACTTTAAACCTTAAGCACAGGCCTATGTAGACTTTTCCTGACTTGGCAGATTTGACTCTAACTTAAAGTTAGGCTTAAAGCTTTTCGAAGTTTAGGGAACTTAGGCTCTCCAATTAAATGTTTATGTCACTAATCATATTGGTATTTTGTTACTTTCAGTGGAGATCGGTAGTTCTCTGACGCCGTGCTAATTACGGACATGTAATTTTCAAAGACCATCCCTACTCAAAAACTGATGATAATATACCAAGAGTCAAAAAATATCAGACAAGAGTTTACATAAATTGTCATCTACTGGTAGACTTCCAAAAGCTTTACATCTTGTGGAACAGAATGTTATGAAAACACACTGTAGCACAAAAATACCTCTAATGCAAGATACTGCTTTGTAAGCAGAACAACAGTCTTTTTGAGAAGATTCAGACTTAAAGACAATGAAATCATAAAATACTTACCTAGCTCTGATCACATCACAATCCTTTTGGGAGAGTTCTTCCTGTTTCACAGCTACCTGAGACGATAAGTTACTGCATACACTGTGCAACTCTTTCATTTGTTCTCTTGCATCTGCTAAATCAGTTTCCAAATTCTGCAAAGAAAGCATTTGAAGTGTATTACAGTTAATATGTAAGAAAGTTAAAATCTACTATGTTTGTTATCTATGTATATAGACATATGGATGTGCATATATACACATGCATATATTTGTTGTGGTCTAAGCAAATATAGACAGCTATATGTGCATACATGTGTGTATGAAAAACATGAAATCAGAAAAAAAGTATATTTCAAATTTTAGGTGGTCACCAACTCTTTACTGTAGGAAGTTTTCTTTAATTCATTTGCTGCATGTGGAAGGGGAATCCTGAATCAGATCTTTGCAAAGCAACAGTATACTATTTAACTCCTGAACTGATTAAACCTTGTTTTCTGTGTAGAAATTTAACAGAATAAACCTACTCCTAATAAAAAACACATTAATTGTTTTAAGTTCTCCAAAAAATGCACAAAATTGCACACATGAACTAACAATTATGGATACAGATTTATCTTTAAGACTGCTGCTTAAATCTGCTATGATTTCGCACTTCTAATTCACTGCAAGGAATAGTTTCTTCAGGAAAAGGAATAGCATACAAGAAAACTTCTGGAAATGCTCGCTGAAAACAATGTAAACAAGCAATAGTTTGTCTTTTACAGTAAGCCTTACTGTAGAACTTAGTCAGCAAAGTGTGAAGGTGTATCTGAGAAATATAGCAGCCAGGCAGCTTACTCAAGCAAGACTTCGATCTCTACATAGTGATCTTACTAGAGTTCTCCAGAGGTTTAGCAGCTTAGAAGAGTACTTCAGTCCTTAAGAAGCTTCGTATGACTATTCTCCCAGAGTGTTTTGAGGCAAGAATGGAAATAGAAATATTACAGCAATATCTGTAGCAGAGTTTCAGAAAATGGCAATGTCCTTAGACCCCCTTTGGCATTATGCTACTCACAGACACAATCACTTGTTCTCAGTAAGGCAAATATTCCAGGATTCTTCAATAATTTAAAATAAATACCTCCTAGTAGAATAGCATGCCTAATCTACTGCGAACAGTGTATTAGTTTATCTTCCATTTACATACAGACTTAGTTAAGGAAATAAAGAAATTTTTCTCTCTCAGCAAAGATGCCTCAAATATTGAAAGTATCAAAACATTTTTATACCTGAAATGCAAATAATTAATTATCTCTCTTTAAAATAGCATAAAAATGTCTTATACATATTTCATATATCAGAAGTGTACCACAAGCACATTCTTTGAATTTGGACAAGAATGATCAAGTCCTGTTAATAACAGTAATATTAATGTGAAGAAGTACCAAAATTAATGAGTGAATGCTGTAGGAAATCTATTTGTTTCATGATAAATCTCAGGCTATATAGCTGGTGTACCCGACTAATGAGCCATCATTCAATCTCAAAGGCTAGGTAGCAAAAAAATTTTTTTTCTCAGATAAAAAAAGATTTCAGAATGATGTTCATTCTATCAACACATGAAAATGTTGAAGTGTAATAAGGTATTTATGACTTGCAGCCAAATAATCTTAGGGTTTCTCCTCAGTGTTTTTCCACAACAGCTTGAAGTTATTGCAAATGAGAACAAAATTGATAATAATGCACACTTTCTGTGAATAAATCCTATTCCCTATCTTTCACACCACACTACAGAGTTGCAGATGTTTTTCATGGTAGAGATTAAAAAAAAAAATCTGATCTTACCAATGCTTAAATTCCCATCATCCACTCAGGGTACAACATAAAGAATAGGTAATAAAGGATTTTGTCATAAATACAACTTTAGAATTTACACAATGGCAGAATTAAAACCAGGAAAAAAGTATCTTCCAGTACTTTGCCCCATTTGTGATATACATGACTTCACATTTTAATTTCAACTAACAAATTAATCAGTTCAACCTTTGAATGTATTTTGAAACCTTGACTTTTTTTGGACATGTTACTAAAAGGGCAAAACATGAAAACAGGGACAAGGAGGGTGTGGTTATATAAAGAGCTTATATACTGAAATACCACATACTGAGACATTCAGTAGAGCTTTCGGACATAATTCAGAAATCTAAGATTAGGAAATAATCTTTCACCCCAATTTCTGAGCATCTCCAATTTTTAAAATTACATGGAATCACAGAATCACAGAATTTTCAGAGTTGGAAGGGACCTCTAGAGATCATCTAGTCCAACTCCCCTGTGAAAGCAGGATTGCCCAGAGCACATTACTCAGGACTGCATCCAGGCGGGTCTGGAAAATCTCCAGAGAAGGGCACTCCACAACCTCCCTGGGCAGCCTGTGCCAGTGCTCTGTCACCCGAACCGTAAAGAAGTTTTTCTGTGTATTTGAACGGAACTTCCTATGTTCCAACTTGTGCCCATTGCGCCTCGTCCTGTCACTGGGAACCACCGAGAAGACTGTGGCTCCATCCTCCTTCAACCCACCCTTTAGATACTTGTAAGCAATAATAAGGTCTCCCCTCAGCCTTCTCTTCTCCAGGCTAAAGAGTCCCAGCTCTCTCAGCCTTTCCTCATGAGGGAGATGCTCCAATCCCTCAGTCATCTTGGTTGCCCTTTGCTGGACTGTCTCCAGCAGTTCCCTGTCCCTCTTGAACTGGGGAGCCC